GGCCCGGGGGCCCGGCGGCGCGCTGTGAGCTGCTGTGGGGCTCGGGGTCGGTCAGGGGAGCGGGAAAAGCGGGGGGCCGGCTGCATCTTCCCCTGAGGCGCTGTAAGCCAGGCTCTTGTCTTCCCGAGGCGCGCTGGAAGGTTGGCAGGGCTGTCGTGTTTGTCACCCAGCCGGGGGCCGGCACGCTGGTGAATGCTGTCGTGTGGTACGTGCTGCCTGGGGGAAAAGGCTGAGGCTGCTTGTTTCTAGAAGAAAATAAAAGCGAGTTAACGCTTTCTGATCAGTATCATCTGGGACTAGGTAATAGATCAGGAAATCTTATCAGTGTATATAAATATGTGGAAGGAGGGAGGATGGGTGGAGGGAAGATGGAGCCAGGCTGTTTCAGTGATGCCCAGTGCCAGGACAGGAGGCAGTGGGCAGAGACTGAAACACAGGAGGGTCCCCCTGAAGGTCAGGAAGCAGCAGCTGTGGTGTGAGGGTGCCTGAGCACTGGCACAGGTTGTCTGGAGAGGCTGTGGAGTCTCCATCCTTGGAAAGATTCGAAAGTCATCTGGACGTGGTCCTGGGTAACTGGCCTGGTGGCCCTGCTTGAGCAGGGTCTTGGGCCAGGTGACCTCCAGAGGTCCGTCCAGCCTCAGCTGTTCTGTTGATAACAAGCTCAGAAGTCAGTGAAACTAGTGCACATTAAATTGCCATTATCTTAAAGACGAAAAATAACTTGCTATTTGTAACATTCATTATCGTGAACACAGAACGGGATGGTATTGTGTAAAGAAACAAAACTGCTTTGCTACACAATTATAACTTTACCTTAAAATGAGTTTTGAACAGTAAAACAGAGCAACAGAAGTTTTGTGGTGTAATTCCCATGCTTCTGCATGATGTTTTCAAACTCTTGTCCAGGAGCATGCCACAGGCTACATAACAAGTGTAGTAAAAACTCCAGTAAGCCAGTTTGTTGGTCATCCAGCAAATCCTGAAATCCCGTTTCCTATGTCTTCCATTTTGTGCCATGAAGTCTGGGTAAATTTTGGACAAAACGCTTGAAATAGTTGAGGTTGATAAAGAGCTATTATTTTGGAAAAAAAATTGCACAGATAATGCAATAAACATTATTGCAGGGCAGTGAAAAGACCATTATCATATGAAGTGTTTGTAATTACGCTTTTGAAACAATGTGACCTGTTCTGTTTTTTTGGTTTTTGTTTTTTTAGCACATATCTCTTAATCAGCTAAAATGGTTTTAAAGAAGAAGAAGGAAGTTCAGGTAGATGCATTCTTTCTTGATCAGCAGCAGCTTGAAAACCTTCAGAGTAAGTGGGTTTTTTCTTTCTGAACTAATGCGTGATTTCTTTTTCTGTTGGTAGAATGTGTTTAAGCAGCTACTGAAATTTATCTGTTTTTTTTCTTGTTATGTTTTATTTCTGTTGGTTTTGTTTTGTGTGTTTTAGGTGTGCTTGTTTTTTTTGTGGTTTGTTTTTATATTGTAATGACAATGGCTTCTTATCGTGGCAGAGTTAAAAGAATCCTTTAGAGCACCGTGTCTTTGGTTTGAAAGCTCTGTGCTTTGTTTTATGATTGGTGTGAAGATGTTAGAAGGTCCTAGGTGTGATTCCACTTCCAGGCCTGTAATTGTGTGCTACTTGAAGTAGTAGCCTTAACAGGTGGGATAACAGTGAATTTCAAAGAATCAGTGAATAGCTGAGGTTGGAAGGGATCTCTGGAGATGATCTTGAGTGTATTTTCTGTAGTCAACTTGATTTAAAATACTGTTTAAATGCTCTTTTATTTTGTAGGGTGTTTTTTTGGTTTTTTGTTTGATGAGATAAACTTACAGTAATTTTTACTTAAAAAAACCCAAACAAACCCAAAAAATGAGTAATACAAGACATAGTATACTAAAGTTACTGTGAGGTGCACCTTGCCTTCTAGTCAGCACTGGTGAGGCCACACCTGGAGTGCTGCATCCAGTTCTGAGCTCCCCAGTATGAGAATGATATGGACATACTGGAGAGTCCAGTGGAGGGTCACTAAGGTGAAGGGCCTGGAGCATCCCTCTTATGAGGAAAGGCTGAGAGAGCTGTGACTCTTCAGCCTGGTGAAGGAAAGGCTGAGGGGGATCTTAGCAATGTGTAAAAGAATATATGAAAGGGGGCATAAAGAAGGCAGAGCCAGGCATTTTTCCGTGTTGAACAGTGATGGGACAGGAAGCGACGGACACAAACTGAAACACAAGGATTCCCTCTGAATCAGGAAATGCTTTTTTTAATGCGAGGGTGACTAAGCACTGGCACAGGTTTCCCAGGGAAGTTGGGGAGTCTCCATCGTTGGAGGTATTCCAAAGCTCTCTAGCCATGGTCCTGGGCATCCTGTTCCAGGTGACCCTACTTGAGCAGTGGGGTTGAACCAGATGACCTCCAGAGCTTCCAACTTCAACCATGCTGTGATTTTGTGAAGTTGGCCTTCATACTGAAGGTGAGGCCTACCATTACATTGCAGTGAAGCTTGCGTTTTTTTTCATTTGTTAGGAAAAAAAAAAAAAATCTGTGTCAAGGTTTTATAAGGCGACTTAAGAGATTGTGGCACCAGTAGGTTTACTGGAACAGAAAAAAGAATTAAGCAGTGATTTCTTATTATAAATTATGTGTTGTTTATACTGCTTATTGTAATTCCTTTCTAAAAAGAAACTTTTCTTCCAAATGTAGGATTTTCAAAGGCTGAAGAGCAAAACCTGGCATCTCTGCTGCTGCACTGCGCACAGCTGAGCAATGGCATTCAGCAGATCCAGTGCATTAAACAAGTAAGACTTCACTGTTGTTAGCATAGTTTTTGGTAACTGACAGTGTGTCATGTGCACTGTTACCTGAAATACAATTCTAAAAGAAACTCTGTAACATTTTAAATGTTAATGTTTTAAACTGGTAAAAAGCTGTTGTTACTGCTGGCATGCACATTAGGTTTAAATGTAGTTCTAGTACTTAAATTAGCAAGGTCTGCAGTTACTGAAAATGATGGCAAGTGATACCAAGTTTCCTATTTTCTGAGTATGTATTTTTGGTATCAGAGGTGTTCTTGGAACGTTATTCAATACTTGAAACTCAAAAGGATATGGTAAAGAGTTGACAGGTTTGCACCATATACTTGGAGGAGCGGGAATTCTGCCTCTGGTAATGATGAATGTATATCCAGAGTTTTTGTTGATCATGCTTTCTGTCAATTATAGATTATGCCATTGGTAAAGAAGATGGATCAAAACTCTGCATGTGATCCCATGGTTAAAGCTTGTTTGGATATTCTGGGAGAGACATATTTTTCACTGAGTGCAAAGAATCCCTTGAAAAAAGTACTAGCAAGGTAAAAAGAATTGCATAGTAAGCCTTTTTTTTTTTTTAATGCTCTTACCTAGAAGTCAGTAATTTGTCATGCCCTACAAATTACTGCAGTTTAGTTACTGAAAATTTGTAATACTAATACATGAATATGTACTGTTTTTCTTTCTTGCTTAGTTAAAAATCTTATTTCTAAATAGTGCAATATATCACTGCATAAATAACTTGAGTGAAGTATTACTTTGTGTTTTGTTACTGGAAAGGCAACATAGTGTGTAATTAGTACTTTGAGTTTTGAAATTCAATATTAGAGTAGAAATTTAAAATACTTCTGTTTGCCAAAGTTGAGATTTTTTTTTAATGTTAAGAGAAGGCTGTTCAGATGAATCATAAGTAAACCGTGGTTTCTTGTGCCTATTTTTATTGCAATTACATTTTTCTGTTGCAAAATTACTATTGTATTTCTTTAGTGAATTTATTACAGCCTTAACATTTTTAAGATCCAGTGCTTAGCTGTTTTCTTTTCTATGTCCAAAAACATTTGTTGTCCCATTGACAGAGAACAGAATTCCATCCTGTATTTGGTTGCGTGCCAGTGTTTTACACCCTTTTGACAGGTACTCTAGCTGCAAAATTAGAACATGCGTGTTTATTTTAAAACAGAATACGTTTTCATGCAGGAGGCAACAGCTATCTGTTACTGGAGTTTTAGCTGACATTGACTTTAGTCAAGTGGATTTTTAACACCTCGGCTTGAGCTGACTGATCGTGCTGTTTCTTACTGTTGCAGTTCACTAAACGGTCTTCCTGAACAGTTTATAACATTAGCTGTACAAAGCTTTGTGTGCTGCCTTAGGGAAGAACTGAAAACCACAGACATACATTTGTACAGAAAAGTGCTGGACAACCTTGCTTCCTGTATGGAGGACTTCAGCTTAGGTATGATGACATTGAATATATTGTCTGCTGTCTTAAACATCCTCAACATTGGTTTGCATCTTGGTGTGGCACCTAATAGTAATGTTTACGTCTTTATCTATGTACAATAGATAATACTGGCTAGTATTCAATAGTTAAAATATATTTTCTTTCCTCTAGGTAGAGCAAGTATTAAGGACCTGTTTGAAGAAGGTAAAGTTGTATTTATAGCAATATAAGTTTCACTGTAGATTATTGGGGGAGGTGTGTGTGAAGAACTAACACGAGGTAGGCATAAAGATCTATCAGATCTGATTTCCTCCTGCTTAATTTTTAATAACCAGTAACCTCACATGGTACTTTTTTTGTCAAAGACTCCCTTGATTTGTACCCTTAATTTCCAGGGGTCAGTCTTGCTTTACTGAGCAGCCCTAGATACAGATCAGAAAAGGTACCAGTGAGTGATTCTTAAAGGGCTGGGGGAGTTGAGGCTACTTTATGTGAAGTATTCTCTGTCCTGTGCCTCATGATGAAGTTGGATGTGGTAACACTGAGCTGTTACCAACCAGTCTTGACTATAGCAAGCCCAGGCCTGCTGTGACAAGAGTTTTCTTTGACAATAATTTAGCAGAAGTCTGATCTTCTGGTAATATGGGATAATTTGACATATTGTGCCCTCAGCATGCCAATAATGTTCACGGCTTCTTGTGGACCTTTTATTGCCACTCTGTTTTTAGTTCTTGGTAATTTCAGCTTCTCATTAAGAACCCAGAACTCTCAATACCTCACAGGATTAGGCCAACTGGGTTGGAAGCTCTCATTTTGTACCAGGTTGTTTATGGAGTGGTAAAAACACCACTATATGGGTAACTGTTCATTGTGTCTGGGGTATGATGTCAATATGTGATTGCTTTGCTGGAATTTTTCTGTTCTATTTCTTCTTAAAATAAATTTATATGACAATTATTTTCTCTAGTTCTTCAGTTTCTGCAGAAGTCGCTATGTGACATACAGGAGGAAAACAGGCAAGTGAATTCAATATAAGCTGTATTTTTATCTGTTTTTATTTCATTCTTGCAAGATAATCTGGTATGGTTTGGAATATCACTTTGATAGCCATACATTGATGAAAGATGGGAATGCCATTTTACAATTATACATATTGCAAGTAAAAAAAAAATCTGATTTTCTTTTCTTTTGTGGCAATATGATATAAAATCAGAGAGGAAAGGAAGAAAATTAAAGGTAGTCATATTTAAGGCACTGATACTGTGTGAGAGCTACTACTTTTAAGGGAGGCCTTTGAGTTGTGGTTTTGGTTTCTGAATTGTGACTGAACACTGTAATAGATACACTTATTAAAATTCAGGTAGAGTAATACTCTTCCACTTTCCATGAGTGTTTAATTCAGTATTGATAGTGTGTTTAGTCTGTCACAGCAGTCATCATTTAGTATCTTGACATTTTCCAGCATTGCATAAAGTAAAGCCTCTTCACAGTGGTCCCTCATCATGTACCCAGATGAGAAGGGTGCTTAATGGAGTGGTTTGTACATTAAAAGTTTATATGTTGTCTGTCTTCATGTTAGAAGAAAGTTTAATCATAGAAGTATGCTTTCTGCATGGAGGAGCTGCTCAAAAAATGAGAAAGGAGCAGCACTGTGTTTAGTTGGTCGTCTTGGAAAGTTTCTGGAAAAGTTCAGCTCTGCTCAGGTAGGAAAAAAACGAGTGAAAGTTTGTCCCAGGAACGTGCAGAAACTGTAGTAGATTTGTCATTATGTTTGTTAACTTCATTTTAAAACACCACCCTTGAGTCTGCTTCTTGTTTTCCTCTAGTTATGTGTCTGGTCATCTCAAACAATACATTAGTTTTTACTGTTAATTCTATCTGAAGTTGGCAGAATGTAGTTTTCTGGGGATGGTGAAGAATTATTTTAATTTCATTTTTGTGCGCATGTGTGTGTCTTTTTTTTTTTTTTTCCCTTGCCAGAAAGAATCATGGAAATTGTATTGTTCAGACTCAATTGATGCACGATTTACTGATAGCCATTAAAGTTTCAATGACGCTTGTACAGAAATTACAAGAAAATATCCAGGGAAGTCTTTGGAAACACCATGAGTCTTTTGTTTGGCAAAGTATGTGTAGTTTACTGAAAAGCTCCACAAACTTCCTAGTGGATGGTAAGTTTAGAAACATTCAAACCCAAATATTTGTATTAATTCAGTCTTGTTGTCTTTGCAGTAAACACAACTTGTATGTATAAAAACTTGTTTTACTCTGAATGGAAATTGTACTGCTGAGACTAATGGGAGTGGGAGCAGTAGTAGGTCTGTTGGTGAGCTATGATTTGTACATTGTAATTTTGGAGTGTACAGTTTACCCTGTCTTACTGCAAAAAAAACGATGTAAATGCCATTATTAATAATTTAGAAACTAGCAGAAATACTTTTGAGACTCACCGCATGTCTGTGCCTACCAAAAATTTATGTATCTGTGTGAGTTATGCTGTGAGAACTGTTTATTGGTGCACTGTAAGTAATTGTGTTTACTTTTTATACATATATATTTGTGCGGTAGAATTTAATATAAATGTCAGTAAGCTCTGCCACAGTTCTTCTTTTCTTACTGGGCAGTTCTGTATTTTCTATCTGTTAAAAGGTACTAATAGTTTCCTATTCCACTAGAGTATAAATTTGTTAATACTCGCTATCCAGGCGGACACTAAAGATTTGTGATTATGTAACTATAAGTAGTTTAGAAAAATTCAATACCATCTTTATAATTTTGATACATAGTTCTAGCACACAACGTTTGCTGCACCTTACTGTAAAATATCTCTCTCTGCCTTGTAGGAACTCTCTTGCAAACTGTTCAGTCTACTTCAGGGCTGGCCGTTATTCTGTTTACTAAAGCTATGTATGAGCCAATTGAAGAATTGCCTTCCTTGGTAAGTGTATTTCTTCAGTAAAGCCTGTGAAAGGTCATAGTGGTGTTAAGCTGTGTTACCAGTGTTGTTCAGAGGCTTTGCTGACACTTAACAGCAGGACCTGCCAACCTCTGTATCAGTCTTGCTGGAGTGTAAATCCTTTCTTCTTTCCTTGCCATATGAAATAATAACCTAGGTTTTTGAATTTGAGAAAAACAACGTACAAGAAATCTCTTCAGATCTTCTAAGATTCTCAGTTATGCGCAGAACAGCTTTTCTCCTGTGCTGAGATACCGTAATGGGTGTTACTTTGCTATTACAGGTCAGCAACTTGCTTCTTGGGTCAGTTAAACACGCCGGTCTGCCAGCATGGTTTCTGAGTAACTGTGGGACTCTGTGTACAGACGAACTCCCTGACTCGGTCCTTCTCTTTCTTTGCCATGGAGCACTGGCTATGCTGGAATGGAAGAATGGCAGCATGGGTGAAGATGGAGAGAAACTACTACTAGATATCGTATCAGTCTTGTTGTCTATGAGTTCAGAGTAAGCCTGTGTTTTGATTTGTGTTTCATGTTTGGGGGGAGGGGGTTGGTCTTTTTCCTTGCATTTTGCATGGCTCGTATGGTCCTGGTGGAATATATCTTTGCTGTTTTCAGTGTAATTATATTAATTTCTGCCACAGGTTTTGTCGTCTTTTTTAATATATTCAGAATATATTGTTTTATACATATATAAAATATGTATAATATTATATATATTATAAACTCTATAAGTTTGTAAAATATGTCTTCATATTGCATAGGCAGTTCTAAGTTACAGTGTTCTCTTACATGCTAAAACGAAATGCTGTTTTTCCAGCATAAGTGGGATTAGTTTATCAGCTATTTGGTGTTAAGGTATGGCAGAATTGGTTGTTACGTTAGACAGATAAACTTTACTTTCAGGACATCACTTCCCATGCTATTGAAAGTACAGAAGAAAACAAAGCATGCCAATGAATGGAATAGTTGAAGTAAGATGGTTTAGTTTTTTTTTTTCCTGGTTGTAAGCATTCATTGCTTGCATCCAATGAACTACCAGCACTATTGGATAGGAAATTAAAATGTGTATTCAGTTCAACCTTTGTTCCTGCCTTGGAGGTCAGTTTTGTGATTTTGTTTTCGCATGTATATAGTACTTAGTTTTTATGGTTTTATATGGCAATGAAACTTTTTCCTTATATTTTCAAGCAGCATGCAGTAAAATAATGTTGCTCGAATATTAGCATGTGCATATTTATTTAAATTTTTGTTTTTCTAAAAGCAAGTGTAGTGGTTTGTCAGGTTTTTTTCCTCCACATAGGTGGTTTTAGCTGTGATCAGTTAACACCATGTTAGGTGACTGAGCATATATTTTGCAACATCCAATTTATCACCTCCTTTTTGTTAGTTCCTTTTCTTCAATGAATGGTTAGTGTCTCCGTTCCCATTTTAGTTGGAGGTAAACTAATGTGATATATAATTCTCTTGAAATAAGAAATACTTTTTTTGAAAAAAGTAACAAATGCAACTAATGAAACTTTTTTTTTTTAAATTCTTTTTAAAAGGTTAAAAGAATGCAGTATGGCAATGTCTTTATCTAGAATCCTTGCTATTTGGACTAATTCAGCACTAGCTGCCCTCATTTCAGGCTCCCCAAGTTTAAAAATCAAACTTAATGGGAACTCGGACATTATTGGGAAGCTGCTGGAATACATTTATACACACTGGGAACACCCTCTAGATGCTGTTAGACACCAAACCAAATTGATATTCAAGAATATTCTTCAGATACACCGAACCACCATTATTGGATCCAACGAAAAATCAGACCCATTCTTTGGAAGGCTGACAAAGCGATTACTAAGCTTGGAATGGCACGTGAAAGGAAAATATGCTTCTCTTGGCTGTCTTGTGGAGTGTGTGGGCACTGAAAATATACTACAGTTGGACAGGACAATTCCAGCACAAATCTTGGATGTGATGAATGATCAGTCTCTTGCACCCTATGCTAGTGATCTTTTGGAAACTATGTTTACAAATCACAAAGCCCATTTTACTTCGAGGTTTCAAGAAAACACCTGGATTGACCACTGGCATAACATCTGGGTTTCTCCTCTTCTTGTAATACTGTGTGAAGGGAGCCATGACCAAACTACTTATATAACAGATTACTATTTACCAAAATTGCTCAGATGTAGCCCTGACAGTCTGAGCTACATGATTAGTATTCTTCAGGCTTCTACAGATGTTAATCTTGGTAAGAATATAAATATCGTATTTGTAATTATGATTTTTTTTTTAAAAAAAATCTCAGTAATGTGATTTCTCATCTATTATTATTGTTAGAATTAACTTGGGAGAAAAATTCCAAATGGTTATTATTGCTGTTAGTATTTCAAGGTGGAATTCATAATAATCATAAGTGTGTCTTCATGCCATGAACAAAATAATTAGTATTCTAACTGTGGGTGCCTTATTGTTCTCTTTATCTGCCAAGCTTTGTTACCTATCAGTATTTTTACTACTATTTTTTCTGTTCTACTGTTTCTTACACAGTCATGCCTGATAACAGGGCTTTACAGATTGGTTTTTGTTGCATATGTGTGGATACCAAGAGTTATGTTTTTTCGGTAGTTTTTGACATAATTGAGTGTAATACTAAAAGAATGGCTTGTGAGACACCACAAGGTCCTTTTTCCATATGACATGTTGAAGAAGCATCTTTTTGAGAACCAGGCAATTTGCTACTAGTTGTAACCTATGACAGACTCTGTCTTTTGGGGTTTATGGGGTAGAAAATAAAAGAGGGAGCTAGAGGTCATGTGTTGGAAGTATGAGGAGTTTCCAACAAGCCTTGTGATTAGTACAATTGTTTATTGTGTTAATCAAACTGTAATTATTACTGATTTTCATTTTCTTTAGGCTCTTGCAGTACTAGAGGAGCTCTTGGAGCACTGATGGCATGCCTGAGAACAGCCAGAGCTCACGGACACCTGGAACTTTCAAATATCATGAGCAATGGTCTTGTATCCACTGAATGTATAAAACAGGGTCTAGTTCATCAGCACAATCAGGTAGAGGGACAAAGGGGGTTTTGTGTCTTTAAATTAGAATAATTGCCTTGATACTAAATACAGTGCTGTCATTGTTTTAAAACAATGACAACCTTGCAGGTGTCTGTTACTCTTATATGCTTAACATCTAAATTATCTTTCAGGTTTGCATCGATGCTTTAGGTTTGCTTTGTGAAACCCATCGTAGCACGGAAATTGTGTCTGTGGAAGAAATGCAACTAATCCAATTTTTTATGATGTACAACTTGAACAGCCAGTCTCCTTCAGTAAGGCAACAGATATGTTCTTTACTGAGAAAGGTAATTTAAAACTATAAACGATATCTAATGTGCTTATATAATAAGTTTTACAGCATTTAAAAATAAATAATTCTGATGATGTTATGAAGTTGCTCATCTGAAAGAGTAGAAGCTCTAAGACCAGGACTCTGTTGTATGTATTACGCAACTGAATGATGATAAGTCATCTTAGGCAAGGATGGGTTAAACAAAAAATTAAGTGACAGGCACAGTAATGGTAGTGAGTGTTACTTAACCTGTCAGCATATGTGCACTTTGCCGATAGCGAAACAACGTGCCGTAGAGTAAGCAAGGAACCATGTGTTGCCTTTGCTGTGGACTAAGAGTGTGCTTAGACACTTAGCGGACCTCAGGCATGTTCAGTGTCACTTGATCAGCCTCAGCACCCTGACTTGGAAGACAAAGTAGAGGAGTATTGAGGGAACAGCATGACATGTGTTGTTACAGTCTGGAGGGACTGAGAGTGTCAACATTGTGGAAGTTGCCAGGCTCATGTATGGGAGATCATGGTAGAAAAATGTGGATAAAATGAGGAAGCCATGTATGTATAAACAACTTTTTGGAAGATGTTAATGGCAAAAGAAGACAGTGTGGAAGGAGAAAATAATTAAGTTGAGATGGGGGAAAAATGAGGGAATAGATTTGGCAGAAATGAGAGAGCAGAAGTCCGTCTCTTTCCATTCTTGCCTGGTGCGGACTGAGGAATGTGAGATGGAAAAATTGTGTTACAGGGAGTGAAATAAGAAAGGAAATAATACTAGTAGGCAATAAAAGAGCTGGGGGAAGCCCTCCTGAGGCAGTCAAGCTCTCTAAGAGCCACTGAAGCTGTAAAAATTATATGCATTAATTGAGCTCTTTTTTATAGAGGATCATATGTTTCACAGCTAAATGGGGAGGTGGGAGGAGAAGACTAAGCATTAATTTAAGGAGGAAGGTGGAAAAAGGTGTTGGAGGTGCAGAGGGAGAGAAAAGATGTTGGTTGCAAGAGAAGTGTGGAGCAAAAAACTTGGTTTTGGAGAGGAGAGAGAAGGATCTATTCTGTGTAACACTGCGTGCAAACTTACAAGCAATACGATCTGGAAATTAAGCTGAAAATCACCCTTTCCCTTATTTATCTGTCAATGATTCTTGCCTTACCCATGTTTTGTTTTTGTTTTAAAAGTTATTTTGTAGGATACAAGAAAGTTCCCAGGTGATTTATAAATTGGAGCAAAATAAAACCAAGCAAGAGTTACTTGAAATCTCAACTAAAAGTCATCCTTTGGGGATTTTGCAGCAATACAGAGTAAGTTAGACTGCTAGAGATGCATGTGTAAAAGGTGGAACAGGATTTCTGAAAGGTAGTTAATTGTTCTTGAGAACACTTCTGGATAAGTTAGGCTGTGACTGTGTTAAGAAATAGTGCCATGCAGAAGGAAGCAAAACAGTGCTGAGGACCTTGTCCACTCTATATGGGCTCGTGCAAGTTAATTTTGACTAAATGTACTGTTGTCTCATGAACTGAGTGCCCGTTAGTATTTGGAGGGTATCTTTAAGCTTAATTTTTTCCAAAAGCAGTCAAGGTTATTTTCTGAGGGATTGCTCCATGATGTGAACTGAAACAACGGTAAGTGGGGAGTGACTGGAGATGTACCCCCAATCCAAACTAAAATTTTCAGGTAAATGTTCTCTCAGTTTAGTAGAAAGTTTTAAATGATGTTTGTTACTTGGACTTGAAATAGAGGTCCCTTGAGCTTCAGCCTTTTCATTCTCTCCAGAATGATCAGTGAGAGAATGAATGACAGAGCTTCAGTGTGAAGACTTTTTTTTTTGTATTTGTCCTTTTTCTTTATTTGAAGGCTTATAAAATCAGCTTTTTTCTGTTAAACTGTTTCTTGTCTTGAGTTCTGCTTTTCTTTTTCGACTGTTTTTCAAGGTTTTGATACAATGGCCATCTTTTTCTGGGAGTGGGGAAGGGGAACTTTTTTTTGAAAACAAACTATTATCCAGTCTTCACTCTATTCTATGAAACAAGAAATTTGTCAGTACTATGAAGATAGGCCTCCCATTGCTCCAAAATTAACTGTAAGGTCATAATTTTTTGAGTAACATGTAAAGCAGAATGTCCTGAGTTCAATTACTTTGACATTTGTTTGTAGGGCAGCAAGCAAACTGTCTTAAAATCTCTTCTGTGATTTTTCAGCATTTCATGTCAGCTGTATGTGACAGACTTTTCGAGGCACTGTTTCCTGGTTCATCACACCCAACTAGATTTTCTGTGCTAACTATTTTAGGATCAATAGCAGAAATATTTTCCGCTCCAAAAGGTGAGAAGTCTAATGTACAGGCTGTAGGAATGGGAGGTATTGAAGAAGATTCTTTTATGCCAGCTAGTTAATTTCTGTCAAAATAAAATGGCATTCTTAGTACTTAATTTCTATGGCATTTCCTGTGTTGCTTTCATTTAGCTGAAGGAAGGATAGTAAGTTTTATTGGAAAATGGAATGTTGAAGTAAATACAAATATTTATGGCCTATTGAATGTCTTCCATGAATTGGTATTTTCTTGCATAGCCTGTTTTTAGCAAAGTTTTTCAGTGAATTTTTGTTATAATAAAGAAAGCTTTTGGACAAGCTTCAATATATTTGATAACTTTACTCCCTTTTTCTGTTCTAACGTCTTTATAATAGGTAATTTAAAAATTTGAGACCATAAAAACCCTTGATTGAGAATGCTTGCCTATCATAATGATATTACTGTATGAAATAAGGAACACTTTAATTGGACAGTGTATGATGTTGTGCTGCTGTTATTGTAATTTTTCTTCACAATGTTATGACAGCTTCAATTCAAGAAGTATTAGAGCCTTGGAGTGTTGATGGTCTTCCTAAATCTTGTGTCTGGATTGTATGGCCAACATTAAAAAAAAGTCTTCAGTCTTAAATTGTAATTACCATTTTTTAAAAAATAATTGAGACATGTAAGATAAAAGTTGCTTGTGAGGGGGAGGAAAAAAGTACCTTCTTGGTGGGTCGTCTTTTCTTAAAACCCTTGATAAATCATGAACACATTAATTTTATTATTACAAGTTTGTGGTATGGTGTTGCTGTTTGTTTGGTTTGGGGTTTTTTTTTTAATAGAAAGTTGCCTTGAGAGTTATTTATAGCAGCGTTAGGATTTTAGAAGCCTGACATTACTTTTATAAAGGAGATTTAGCTGGTGCTGGGTTCTGTGCTGGAATGTGGTGCACTTTACATCTTAAAATTTCTGTCTACTTTACAGCATTAGGTCAGTTGCCAGAAGTCAGACTCCTTTAAATCTAAATTAAAAGCAAAAAATTGTAATGGCTTCCATTTTATTCTTATCACCCACACCTCCACACCACCCTAAAAAACCCCTGCCACAAAACACACCGAAGTTTTAAACTTTTTTTGAAAGGAATTATGTTCTGATATTACATACTTTCAGGAAAAGAATTTTTAAGTATAACTAAAATAAAGGTTATTCTCAATGCTGAATTTAATGTGAATAAATGGGATTCTGGGTTTGGCAATAAGCTATTTTCTGTATTACTGGGAGTCATTTTTTGGATATGGTAACCTTTTTTGAACAGTAAACATGGCATTTTAAGACCTATTAAGAGAAGTAAGTAATGCTTTAGCTAAAATTTCACTTCAATGCTTCTGTTAGTATAGCTAAGCAAAATATGAATGCAGTGCTTATTCTGGAAAGAATTACAGCAAAACTATGTAAGGCATTGATTTCTTTGAACAGGCCAGGCACAAGTTTTTCAGCTGGATCAGGAGATCGATTCTACTCGTGTCCAAACTTTGATCCAGTGTTTTGCCAGTACTTTTGAAGAAGTGAAAATTCTAGCGTTTGAGGTTTTGATGAAAGTACGTGATGTTGCATTTAATTTACAGGTATGTAACTAGAAGTAGTTCAAAGGCAGTAATTTCGTGAAAGGTGAATGTTATGTATTAAGCCAGGTACTTGGATTAGGGACAAAGCATAATGCTGAAAATGGGAAGTCAGTCCAAGCTGACTGCAGTAGTGTTCATCCCTAGCATCTTCTATATATTTTCACACAGCTTCTGCCCTTAATGAAGGAGCCTTGTTTCACTGATGGATGAAGGAGTTTGGGCAGTTCGTTGGGTATGACGGTGAACTATCAAAGAAATAGTTAATGCAAACTCCTTGCTTAGCTGTGGATTCCCTTTGTAAATCATAGAATCATTAAGGTTGGAAAAGACCTTTAAGATCATCAGGTCCAGCTGTCAACCCAACACCACCATGCCCACTAAACCATGTCCTGAAGTGCCACGTCTACACGTTTTTTGAATACTTCCAGAGATGGTGATTCCACCACCTCCCTGGGCAGCCTGTTCCAATGCTTGACCACTCTCTCGGTGAAGAAATTTTTCCTAATACGTAGGCTAAACCTCCCCTGGTGCAACTTGAGGCCATTTCCTCTCATTCTAAATCTAAATGATTGAGGCATTTTGACTTGGTTACTCTTGTATTTTAAGAAATTCAGCTCTGTGTTTCTTTTCCTTTCTGATTGGTCTCAGATTTAATTTTTTGATTGTCTTTTTATTTCTCCCAGATTTTACCCTTTGACTCAATACTGTTTTTTCTGTTTATTACTTCATAAAAAGTTACTTTTAAATTCAAAAGTACAGGTGAACAAATACTGCTTCCCAATAAACCATGCTTCTTTGTGATGTCTGTTAGCAGATAAAATACAGGATTTTGAAAACAAAAACATCTTCCTGTGAAGTGCAGCATGTTTGAATACTGCTTTATAAATTACTGTCTCCATCCTCAATGCGTGTGTAATTGTATCTTTGCTAAATACATACACATGCATGCTTTTAGTCTAAGGTGGTCAGTGTACAGAATAAGTGTTTCTTAAGAAATATGTACCAGCAAACTTACCGAAAAGCAGGGTCTTAGGTTTCAGGGTGCAAAGCAGCTTAATTAAATCAATATGGGAGCTCAATAAAATTACCAGTATTTTTTTTTTTCCCCAGGATTATGAAAATGTAGATCTCCTATTCCAAGCAGCAATGGATCTTAGCACCAGTACCAAGCCATATGATTGTGTCACTGCTTCATATTTGTTGAACTTCTTAGTACATCATAAAGGGCTACAGCATATTTGTTTAGGAAAACGTGTTGAGCATAAACCCCAGATGGATGAAAACACATCATTAAGTACAGTGGAGAAGAACACTTTAGCAGGTAAGCTTTTAGGGAAATTACACCCCACCTCTGTTTTTTATATTTATTTGAAACCTGACTGCTTTTCCTTGAGGCTTTTGGTAGGAGGCATAATGAGTAAGAGATGCTGATTTCTAATAGGATTTAAAATATATTTTGTTTTGCTGTTAAGAAGCCAGGTGCCTTAGTAAGATCTTAATCTAGTCCTGTTCGTGTTGAGGCTATCGCATGTTCTCAGAAGATGGCTTTTGTTACTATTTTGATCAGAGGGAAGGTGACATTGAGGCCCTGGTAGTTAGTGTGATGAAGCTGTGTACATAAAGTGCAGGAAAGGAACCTCTGCTTCCTCTAAGAGCTTGCTCACCCAGAGCAAAGGCAGCCATGGTTGGTTTGTGTCATATTCCAGTACTTGATATTGGTAGTGCTGCCCCTGGGAGCTTTGTTCACTTGGAACCGTTTTTCTGAGTGATTTGCAGTCCTTCGTATATGTTGCTACAGTAATTAGACTTTGCATGTGAGATATTTTTCTTTGTTTTAGTGTTTCTGGATGAAAGCTGAGAGGCTGTAGGCCTGGCAGATTGCAATAAAACTAAAATCTTTAAATTCGTTATTTGTAATAAACCATTGGATGTAATTTGTAGTAAACTTGCTATTGTATACTTTTTTGTGCCGTTATTGGCCTCTATACAGATGCCTACGAATGCTTTCTTTATATGCAGTGAAATAATGATTTTGAGACATGGTTGTGGTTGCCATACATGAAGAAAACGCATGGGTAACTCCATGTCTCATTGTTACAGAGTATCTCCTGTTGATAGTTATACGTAGTTCATTATTAGGCTCTGTAATTCATTTTGATTCTGACATTGAGATGCTGCATGGCATAAATGTAAATAAAATAGGCATGTGTATCCTTGAAGATCGGGCAGCTTCTTTAGTGGCAAATTTAAGATTCAAGTATTTAACCGTAAGCTTCTGATCTTTAATACTCTGCTGAACTGTTTGTTCTATTAACCTGGCCCTAAGGGAGAAGTCTGACTTACAGTATGCGGTCGGTTATTTCACTTGACTTCTTCAGAGGCTGTGGGATTGTCCCCGAGTACAGGATCTGTGTTGTGCTATTCACAGCTGCTGTTTGATTCAGGTAGACAGACTAAATTGCCTACAACAAATATTGCTGGAGTTTAGGTAACTGAAAATCAACAATAATTTTTATTTAAAACAACAAAAGAGAAAAGTGCAAACAAGGAAATTGCTGCGCATTTTCCATTGAATTGTTGTGGAAACAGGCTTTTTTCCTATTCCTTTAAAGCAGATTTGTTTCTTAAACAATCTAATATATGTATGTATAATGCTAATCTGTATTTCTTAAAATTTTAGTTATCAAACTTTTGTTGGTGAATGTTGAAGAAGAAGTATTTCAAGCTAAGAAGTCTCTGCTTCAAGCAGCAGCGTCATTCCCAATGTATGGGAGAGTGCATTGTATAACTGGGGCTTTGCAGCAATTACCTTTTAAGTAAGTAAATCATATGGCTAAATAGTGAGTCCTAACTCCATATTTAAGCACAGTGGAAGAGCTGCTCAGGAGAACATAAAAGCATACAGTGTTACTAGTAATGAAATCCAGTACCTGTGTCTTTTAGAACTCTTATGGGCTGCTGTGCTGTTTAGCTAGCTGTTGGATACTTCCTTCTTGTGTATTAAACTTTGTCTTACAACCTTTCAAACGGTACCCTATTTATAGTTTTCATAAATACTGTTGTGGAATTTTTTGTAATTTTGGTTTCTTCTTTTAAATGTAAAATTATTTTTAATCTGTGTTGTGTTTGGTTTTTATTTGTTGTTTTTTAAAGTAACTTGACATTGGTAGCTGAGTGGAAGGAAATGGTGGCCAAGCTCATTCTGATGTCATACAAACTCTCTGCTGTAGTATCACCAGTAGTGCAGAGCTCATCACCAGAGGGTCTTATTCCAATGGATAGTGAATCAGGTAAACAAACAAACAAAGAAAAGCCCGAAAGAATTCTGTTAAAATCTGAAGCTCCTGAAGTTCTATTTGTCTTGCAGCAATTCAGAACTAAAGCTAGCCCCGCTCTCTTTCAGTTTTTCATGTTCTGTCACAATCTTAAGCCATTCTTTTAACTTCTGATAGAGGTTGTCCTGACTTCTGCACTAAAAAAAAAAAAAAATTAAAAAAAAAACCTGTGGATTGTGTAGTCGCATCAAAACAGATGACTGTAAAGTCCAGTTTTCTTTCTTCCCTAATCCTCCTGATCACCATAGTTTTGTATTTGTTTTTTACTACTAATAGCTTTCTTTTGTACTTGCATACCCAAAATGAATTACATTTGTATAAAGAACTGGAAGTAAAAAACAAAACTATCTTAAATATTCCTCTCGTTTACTGTGTAGAAAGTACTGGTCGCCTGCAGATGATTCTGCATGAGATACAACCACAGGACACAAATGATTATTTTATGCAAGCAAAAATTTTGAAAGAACACTGCAAAGTAGAGTCTGAAAAGCTGGCTGACGACAGGCCAATGGAAAGTATTTGCACAGAAATGAGAGGTAAATCCAATGCTGTATTAGTAATTAAGATATTCTTTATAGACCAGGCATTTTATGTGAGTGATCAAAATTGGAAGTTACTTGCTCTGTGTAACGTTTCCCTTCTTCAATAAATCTGTCAGAAGCTAGTTATTCATGGGCATGGTTTTAAGGACTAATTCACTGTGTTGCTGGAAGATTGTGGTTAATCTCTCTTAGAGCACAAGTGAAAATGAGTTGTTTTGATATTGCCTTATTGCCTTATGCCTATTGCCTTAGCTGCACTGGCCAGGTAATCTTTAACACCTTTTCTGTCAAGCGTCGCTTTTAATGCGTTTCTTGTAACTGATTTCCATCTCCACTGTACACAAGTGGGGAATACCTTCATGCAATAAAACTTGTTGCATGAAATTACATAAGCAGAAGCTTCTGTTTGAAAAATTCCAGTGGTAAAATGTTAGATGGTATTTGTTTACTTTAATGAATAGCAGCTATGAAATCAAGCCTTACAGTGATAAAGGAGTTGTAAACTTTGTAGTATTTAGTGTATGCCAGCATAAACTTATAGAATATCTGTACATTTTTACATTTAACAGCTCATGCAAGCTTTTTAGGTCTTCAAATAATTGAACTTTCTTTCCTCCCGTGTTTTTTTCCCTGTGTTTAAAATAGCTTTGGTTGAGCCATATGTTTTGTTTCATGAAAGTAAGTCTGTAAATACGGTAAAGTGGCACAGTGGCCACCAGATGGGGATGTTGCGTTAGAAACGTGATCCCTTTGCCTGGCCTCTTCCTATGGGGGCATCTGGGTTAAAAACCAGGTAACGTACAGTGATGGCTTGATGACTGACGTGGAGTTTGCTGGAGCCTGGCTCCAGAGTTGTAGGTGTTTATACACTTCAGTGTGCAGGTGAATATGAATTGTGACCAAAAGACACTCTTCAAAATACCAGTTTCCTGGTGAAATGGTATACTGCTGCTTTTTCCAAGTGGAATAAAGTACAGTGAGTGTTTAGGAGTGGAAGCAATTAGGATCAGCAGAACTGAATTATCTTTTGAGCTAACAAGTTTAGAAATTTTTTTTTTCGTAGTTAATTGTGTTTTGTAAGAAGATCAGACTAATTAAAAATTAAATTACAAGTCTGTGTCTGTGAACTCTGAGTTACACTATTACATTTGTTGATTTTTATTTTTAAGGTAAAGACAGACAAACATGTGATGTCACAGCCCAAATGGTTCTTGTATGTTGCTGGAGAAGCATGAAGGAAGTATCTCTGCTCTTAGGGACACTGTGTAAACTTTTGCCTTCGCAGGCTGCATCTGAACCTTCAGATGGGCTGATTACTGTAGAACAGGTAGGGAAGTACTTATTATAAAACCTTCACTTTCTGGTTGGGATGTAAGGCAGTTTTCAGAAAACTTTTTTCTTAAGTTTACATTCTGAATGGGATAAGTATTTTTTTTTATTGCCATGTTCTCATGGTTTTTCTTGTTTTATTATACTTGGTTAACAGTCTACTTTTTGGTAAAGTGGTATTCGGAAGGCATAACTATAGCAGTAGATAAGCGAAGAAGTTGTTGTACATAGCTAACAAACTCAAGGAATATTAATTCTAATTGTATTTGGTTATTTATAAGATGTATGCTGTGTTCAGGCATACCAGTGCACCTCTCTCTATGTATATATGTATTGGTATATATTAGGCATTGATAGAGTTGCTAAAAATCTTCTAAACTGACTTATATTCAAAGAGTCTTCTGTTTCATTTTGAATCCTAGATGCTAGGAGTTTGGTTAAAACTCTTCATTAATTGACCTTCATAATAAATAATTCTGAAAGTCAAATATGCTGACTAGTCATAATCATGTCCTAGGTAGGAGACTGAGTTATGAATAATTTGTATGTAATGTGACTCTCTTTTTCCTCCAATTTTTTTGATTTAAGAGATCAGAAATTTAATACGCCGTCTGTGTCTCTTGTAGAATCTTGAGTGCGGTGTTTACAAGAAATTAGATTACCACAGGCATTTATTTGGGAAATATTTTGTGTTTATTAAATTTCTGTTTTTAATTGATGACCTTTTCATTTCCATATGGTTTCAACAAAACCAGTCTCTACACGGAATATTAAAATATGCAGGACATACTACTTCCTAACCTCTCTTTCTTTCCAACAGAAAATGTTGGTTTATTTTTTTCCTTAGGTGTTAGATAATTAATTGTATAATGTACTGCAGATCTTATTTCTTAGGTAATGTTGGGGTGCCATAGAAATAGTGTTAGTATCTATTCTTGCATTGTCTCTGGTTAACAGCTGTGCTTGTATTGTTGCAGAGGTCTGCAGGATAGATGAGAGAACAGATGCATGTTGCCACCATTATGTTCCTTAATCTGTTCCAAGTCAAAAAAGAATTGGTATTTCAGATCTAACTGTAGCATCGCTATCTTTATTTGGAAAGCAGACATTAGTAGTTACACTTTAAGAAGTGCTATGTTATTAAACAACATATCTTCTTTTCCTGTAGATGCCTCATTAGATTCTTTATGCTTCTGATGTCTTCCTGTAAAACAGAATTGTCTGCATTCTAATTTGAAGAATGCTAATTGATGAGAAGTCAGTTTGAAATTTTCCTCAGGCTTGTAAGAAAATACCCAAGGAAATTCAGTTTGGCTGAATGTATAACAAATATTGTAGGAAAAAAACCATAGGCATTTTCTCTACTTTTTGTAACTGGTATTACCCTATTGTAAAAAAAAAGGGGGGGGGGGGGGGGGGGCATTATAAATTATTAAAAATGAAAAAGCGCGGGGGGGGGGGGGGAGATGTCATCATAAATTACTAGAAATGTCAATATGAGAACTGCTGTGGCTTCAGACTTTTAATAACTAAACCACTTTTCAGTGTTGAGAAATAAGGGAACTGGATTTTGGTATCTTATGCATGTAAAGCTTTCCCTTAAAGTTGTCCATTCTCTTTCTTTATCCTGTAAGTATAAAAAAAGATGTAAGAATACAGAGGGGGAAAACTCGAGAGAAACCTTGATCGTATTGCCTTAAGCCAGGGCTAAGGAACTGTTGAGAAAAATCTGGTAGCGCTGTTTGGCCGTTCTATGTCATCCTGTTGCAAAGCCTTCCTTGTCTTGGACCTTGCTTCATAGGTCAGTAACTGTGTTTAAATTGTACCTGATGAGATCAGTGCTATGGTCGCTATTTATTCACACAAAAGATCATAGTGTTGAATTTGCACATAGTCTTTTGATTATTTTTGCCTTTCTTAAATGGAGTATGCAAATGAAAAGACAATGTCTTTTGGTGCTGTTCCACATTCAGAAATGGTAAGGAAGAAATTTTTCACAATGAGGGTGGTGAAACCCTGGCACAGGTTGCCCAGAGAGGTGGTAGATGCCCCATCCCTGGAAACATTCACGGTCAGGTTGGACTAGGTGACCTTTAAAGGTCCCTTCCAACCCAAACTGTTCTATGACTATATAACAGAACTGTGCTGCTTCATAGGCAGTGGTGTTAGCCAGCTGCTCGTGGAACTAATTCTTGATTCCCCTTTGTAGCTGTTAATGCTGTCGGTTGTGGTCTGTACCTACATAGGAGAAGTTGGCAGAGAGGCAGCTCTGGTCTGATACTTTTTCTTTTTACTAGAAGTTGGGGAAATACCAAATTTGCACTCTCCTTGTCTTTTCAGTAAGAGGGTGGGTTTGCATGGCGTTTCAATGCCAGGGTGTGCATATAACATGTTCAGCAGATGTGTGTACAGAGGAGTCGCAAAATACTGTTTGAATTGGCAGTCTTCAAAGCTTAAGCCATTTTGCGATGGCTGTTTTGCCTTTAAAAATAGACATAGGAAGTGCCTGAGATATCTGGAAGAATCTCTCTATTCAAATATGTATTTTATCTTTCATTTTCTATCTGATCCTTAAAGTCCAGAGATGGCAGGCTCAAAGCTTTGCCTGATAAGACAGTCGATACGAACAGTATCATGTCCTAGAAACCACTACATAATCAACAAAATGATACTAATTAAGACTGTGTGTTGATTTTGTCATATCACCTGCAAATCATGAGTGCTCCAAGCCTGGAGGAACTTGAGTCTCTTTCTCAAACTCCAGTTTATCTTGCCAGTGAAGTTTTAAGATGATTTTGGGAGATAAGCTTGCCAGAACTGTGTACCAAAGTGAAAAGAAACAGGCAGCAGAAGTAAAGACTGTCCCAGCGGCAGGGGTTCTGCTTGTGTTAACCCAACAGTCAAAGTGAGCTGATCTGAGCCTTTGTGGTGGAACACAGAAGACTTAATTACTGATAACCCTCAGTACTTGTTACTTATTTGTGCCACCGGTACAAAAGTGTGGCTCCCATTGCTGCTTTGGAGCTTGTTCTCTTCAAGGAAGAATCTAAAACAAACAAAACCCCCAAACCCACCAAAAATCAGCCTCTCCCCAATTCTGAATGTAATCAGTCTGTCTCCTCTAGGCTCTAGTATGGTTGGCAATAGTTCACTGGCTACTAGTTGTTTCTAACTGTGGGATGCTTTTGCGGTCCTTTATGGGTTGAAAGCTATTCGCTCCAAATCGTTTGGGGAAAAAAAAACAAACCAAAACCCAAACCAAAAACCCTCTAGAATGTAGGAGCCTACTTTAATGGCATCTTATTGCCAGGAAAATAGAATATGGAGTAGCAAATGTACCAACTGTTTCTCAGAGCACTTTGGGAATCTCCTGTAGAGAATTTATACCTTTGAATGCTGAGATTCTTGGTCTCAGCAGCAAGCATGGCCCTGTAAATTGTTGATTTTTGTGTTAGTAGAACCTTTTGTACTCTAGGTTTCTGACCAACATGGTCAAATATATTTAAGATATTTGCTCCCTGCTCCATATTTGAATATTTTAACTTGAACCAGGTCTGATTTCCTGTGCAAGCAAAGTTGGTAGGGTCACCTTTTCTTTCAGTTGCTGCGGATCTTCGTGATGTTGTAAAGAATGTGAATTCCTTGACTTGTTCTCCATCCTGGTTTTATGACATAGGGAAGCTGGACGCTCATGGATAGCATGATGCTATTAGATAAGAATCTGTACTTAAACACTTGCCTTGTCATTTATGAGAACTGAATTATGGCAGTGCTTTTTCTTCAAACTCTAGTCTATGGGTGGAAATGAATATATCTGACTTCAATTTGAAGTAAGCCTCTATCCAATATGGCTGTTGCAGGAAGCTCAGAAATACAAAGAGTAAAGCTGAAAGTTAGATGACCTCAGGAAAAAAAAAATCCATATGAATTATTCTAAAAGCATAAGGGTGGTGGTGGGACAGGATGGTAATTTGATTTGCATGTGTATGTTTTTATTGGTTTGGTTTTGTTTACACACTTGGAGAGTTGGTCTGTCAGTGGGTCAGTTCCTTCTGAAAAAAGGGCACTTACTACTACTTTTGGTCTAGAAAGCTGAAACACTGTAGGTGTATAAACTAGCTTAAAATTAACTCCCAAGAATTAACTGTTTTAGCTCAAATCTCTCTAGTTATCGTTTGTTTCAGATTAGGTGGGTTTTAGCTGGAGGAAATAATACTTGACGTAGTCTCTGATTATTTTTTTTCCGAATTATTGCAATTTCATTGCTTAGGTAATATGAATTACTTAACAGTAGGGTGGAAAACCATACAGCTAGATATGACATTAACTCCTCTGACATCTTAATTACTTGTCAGACTGTTTATGTTATTTTATAAATAACAGAACAAGCAAAATTTTATAAGAAACTTGACATGACTTTATGCTTGATTATATATAAAAGCTTTGAATAATTTTTTGCTGCATTAACTTTTGGGAAATAGTCCTGAAGAAAATTTTGCATAATAGAATAAAGTATGTGGTATGTGTTTTAAACAAACTATATTGGAAGTTTGATTTAGATCTTGAAAATTGATAAGAATTAGAGAAAGAATAAAAAAGCATGTCTCTTTGTAGAATGAAATTGTGTGGAATTGTAAGCTTCTAGACAGCTTTAAAAACTTGGTATCCTGGTAGAGCTCTAGAAAGCAACTATCAGTGCAAGTTTAATTATAGCATTTGGCTTTTTCAACTTTTTTGTATGTAGCTGTCATTACTGCATATATACAATGTCTTTTTTAATTTTAAAATTGGTAAAGAGAATTGTGCAGAATCCTAGAACCTTAAAAATAGCTAAGGCAGATTTGTTTCCCTTTGGCAGAATTCTTTTGAAGTTTACATTTCTTATCTTTCGCAGATATTTTTGTAGATGTTTGTTTCTGCTGTTATGGTTTAGTAGATATTTTCTTTGGGATTTTAGCTAAGCGCAAAGGCAAACAAGGATTATAAGTTTGTTTCCTCTGAAAATCAGGGTTATCCCATTCTTTTCTTAAAATCTGTGTGTGTTCCTCTTGGACAAACAGCTAATTTTATGTCCCCCTTTTTTTTTTTTTCCTTTTTTAAGGACATAGCACTATCCCTTTAACCTGAAAAATTGAATATAATATTTATTATCCTTAAAGTGTGGCTTTTTAATGATAGGGCGTACAGTTGCCTTTTGCCAGTGGCCTTTTCAACCAGGGGAAGGATTTTCTGCTTTTAATTGCAGAAGTATCTTGCATATGTAAATGAATTGTCTATACATAATTTCAAACAGCTTTTTTCTTTTTTCTTTTTTAGGTTAAAAATATTGGGGACTACTTTAAACATCATCTGCTGCAGTCAAGACACAGGGGTGCCTTTGAATTGGCATATGCTGGCTTTGTGCAACTCACAGGAATGCTTTCCAGGTAGAAGATAGGCGACTTACTATGTTTTTAATATAATAATTTTACCAAACTGTGGCATCAATCCTGAAACTGTCTGTGCAAGGACATCCTTGATTTCATGTGGAGTTTATTTGAGTTTGGTGTAGGCATGGTTAGGACATTAAGTTACATGACGTCTGTGACTTGGACTGCGTTACTTATGGTTAGAGATGGCGCTTAGGCATTGAAAGACGATACAGACATTTAATGCTTGCTGCATTTTCTCCATTTCTGGTGTGTTAGTTTACTGAGCAGCTCTCAAAGCTCTTGGGAAAAGTAGGAGTGTAGAATTTTTTCCCTCGCGCTCCCCCTTCCCTGGGCCATTGTGAAAATGAATGCCAGACTTCTTGTTTTCAGCCAGGATGTTTTCCTGGAAACTTTTATTGCTTGTCACAAAGTTGTGTATTCTGACATTTGGAAGACTACCTGGCAGTGCTTCACAAGATGTGATATGCAAGCTTTTTAATTCTTTTTTTTCTTTCCCCTTGTAACTTTATACTTTCCTAGAAGAACTAAATGAGCAGAATTGTCCTGAGGTCTGGGCAAGAATGTTGGAATTTCCATTACATGCTTAGTTACCCATTTCAAGTGTTGGTAATGTTTCTTTGTGATACATAGTGATTATATCATATCCATTTTTTAATAAGACAAATCAAAATCTCTACTGACTTTGTGGGTTACTAAAACATTAAGCAGTATGTATGTATCATACAAAAAAGAAGGGGGCACTTCAATATACGTAGTTTTCCTCTTCTGAATTAACAGTTCTCCAAAACAGTTTTTTGATGTTGCAAATGCTTAGTATTTTTAAAGTTAAGGTATTTCAAGTAGAGCTGGCATTCCTTTGGGAAAAGCCAGTTTACAAGAACCAGAGAGCAGCTCTGTGAGAATATATTTGTTTCAAGGAAAGGAGGTATTTGACAGGAAATATGGGTCTCAAGACTAATATTTGTATTTGAAATGAAGGAGAAAGGAGACTGATACCAGAATAGCCGATGACTACTGGTTTGGTACTCCTGGGATACGAGTAGTATCTTGGGACTCTTCTCCAAAACAGGTGAGTTAAGTCTCTTGGTGAATGCAGTCGCTCTACAGGTCTGTTGAGTGTCCCAGAGTCTTTCCATTTACCCTGCTGCAGCTGAGGGCCTCCATTCTGCAATGAAATCCAAACTGGCCTACCTATCTCCATAGCTGCCAGGCTTATAGACAGTCTTGAAGCGTGTGTACCAGAATCTGTGTGTGTTTACTGCTGCATCCACAAATACTGGAGGAGAAGGCCTCTATTTGGGGCAGCTTATAGTAATGTATGGCTTAAAGATGATACCTTGTTGAACAGAATTGAACTCGAGACCTACAGAAGCATCCTTGACATTTTAATTCATTCTTTCCCTAAGACCTGGTGAAAAATCTGTCACTAAGACTGTGCCAGATACTTTTCCCATGCTTTTATGAAAGACTCTAGTTGAACATGGTCCTTCACTTTTATAGCCAAACATTTGCTTGAAAGTATGTGCTGGAATATTTACCATCTGAGCTTTCTTTTAGCTATACAACCCTTAAAATACCAGCCTTCATAAGAACCTAGAGTAGGCTTCTTTCTAGACAGAGAAGTGGTATTCAGACCTGTCTGAGTTAGTGGTAAAAGAAAAACCTTTCCTCCACAGAGATTTCTTAGGAACCTGATGAAATTTGATCTCTGGCTTGACTTCTGGATGTAAATTGCTGAGTCTGCTCTAAGTATGCAAGTTACCCTTCTTTTCCCTCTTCGTATTCCTTCTGGGGGTGTAATGCTCCCTTTGTCGTGCCCGCTTAATATTGTCTGCGGCTGCGCCTTGAGAAAACCATACAATTACAAAACAAGCAACATTCATATCAAAGAACTAAGCAATATTTTAAAAAAAAAAATTTTCCTGTCACAGGCCCTGAGAAATTACAAATGCTCATTTCTTTTTGATAACGTGGTGGTTACGGAAAGTACCTGGAAGCCTCTGGGCATCCGTTTTAAACTTGAATCTACTGTAATCCTTATAAATACCCAAACAGTTTCTCTATTCCAAATGGTGTTTTGCCTGTTTTGCTTTTATTTTATTTGGTGAAACTTTTCTGAGAGCTTATAAAGATTTCTGGGAATCTCATAGTTACGGCTGTAGTGCTTTGCTTCACTAAAGTTGCAGAATGCAAGGGGAAGGTTTGGGAAGAGTTATGTCATACAGTGCAATGTGTTTATGTAGGAATAATGTATTTTGAACATTTTTAAATGTTCAAGTGGGTGTTTAAATTAAACTTACTGAACACAATTTTATGTATATGCAACAAGTTAGGACTGTATCCTGTAGTTTTCGCAAAAACTCGAATGGTAAAGAAAAACCCTGCTTTGATTTTACGAATGTTTAATCCAGTATCAGTGGAAATTATTCATCTGTACCTACTTAGTGTCTGATCTTTTCTAATATTTCTGTTGAGGAACTCGGAGTAGCCCCTCCCTTTACCTTTGCAGTAAACTCTGCTTTTGACTCACTTTGTTGCTCAGAAGTGGCTGTAACTCTTTGCCTTCCCAGGCCCATACGGTCTGCTAGGAAGACTTCTTGTAAAATATAAAAATCATTGATGGACTTTTTACTGAAATGTACAAGAATTGTCACTAACTTTTCAGCAAAAGTGTAATCACAAACGTGAGGGAAGGTCTAAAATGGAGAGAAACAAACTGGAGGGGGGGAACTGTTCTTATGTATTGTGATGCTTGTAGGGTTGGGAAGCACACTATATAATGAATTACAAGATAACAATGTTAGCACTGCTCAGTTTGAAGACATGTTAATTTTTAACTCTGTCCATATTCCTCCTGCCCCCATTTCTTTTCCTGCTTGGTGAAAGAGAGAGATAGGGGTAATGATATTGTCTGTCTGAAATTTTGAGGCCACCCAAGGTTCTCTCTGCTCTGCTTTACTGATAGAGAAACCTCAAAACAGCACCCTTCTTGATGCACCTATGTAATTTGGGAAATTTTGCTTCATTTAGAGCAGATGCTATGAAAAGGAGAATGCAAGTGGAAGGACTTAGTAGTTTCAGAAGAGTTGTTCTTAAAAGTAGACATTTTCTAGGGTGACTTATACCTTGAATAGTAATGTATTTCTGAGGCTAGATTCTTGTCTCTGTATTTGTCAGAGAAGTGCCAGGGCATTATGGAGACTAGCTTTATAAAGAAATAGGAATCACATTACTGAAGTGAAAAAGACTAATACTGCGGGTCTATTGAGAGAGGAAGAATGGCGAAAGAAACCCCCTCTTTCGCCAGATAGGGACCAATTACAGTGATTGGAAACACTGAATTCTGGATATACCCATGTAGAAAATGCTTCTGGTCTTGGGAAGTTTATGCCAGAAACCACTGACATCCAGGAAGGCCAAATCCAAGATCGACTCTTTGTTCTTAACACACCATTAATTTTTGGATAGGAGAAAATACAGCCATATGAGTTAGGGAGAGGGGTTTAGCTTTAACTTTGAATTGCCAGGCTTTTTGTACTTTTTGATACTGACCACAGAAGGGGTTTTGGGCATGTATGAAATTGTTACAACCGGCAGATGGACAGACGGAAATTTGTGGAAAAACAGTTACTGTACTGTAGCTTAAGTAATTTGTGTATCAAGTTACTGTGTTATATTTTAATTATCAACACTGTTTGATCGGGTAAAAATAATTACTATATCATTCTGGAAGATGACATGTGAGCTTGAGACCACCATTTTTATGTTATAAAGCTTCACTATTCTTAAAATTTAGGGCCACCTGCTTCTTAAGACAATATTCTTCTTGCCAGACCATAAGGAGTTGGAGCTGCCAAATTTAAGGGAGTAGTCATCTCCATTGCAAAGTCAATAATCTCTAATGTTTCCAACCGTAAAGTAATAGCTCTTTTTTTTTTTTTTTTTTTTTTTTAAGGTAAAAGAGTGCTTTGGTGGGTGACTGAACAAGGTAGAATTACTTGTGGCAAGATCAAAGCAATACAGTTTTAAGGTGGTTTTCAGTATATTTCTCCTCTTTCTACTACTACTGAAAGGGGCAAACCCCCTCAGTTTACTTAAGGATGAAATATTCAGTATACTACGAAGCAACTTTTAAATATTTCCTTAATGCTTTACTTTGTGTTCTTCTGCACCACAGCAGATGTGAATATGTCTTGTGGAATGTTTGTTTTAATACTAAGATAACATACTCAAGAGAGATGAGCACTGTTCTTTGCATGACTAAACTAAGACATTAAAATTCTGCTTAGGTAGGGAGGTAAGACCAGCCGCAAATATGATCAGAAGTAGTAGCTTTGGCAGCACGTATTGATGTGGATGAAGAGAACTGCGAAGTAGAGTCTAGTTGCAGAGACCCAGAGGAGATCCATAAGAAGTTTTGCGTGGTCTCAAGCCTAGAATTGCATCTTTCTTGTGTATCCAAAAGCCAGCAGAGGAGCATGTCCTGAAAGTAAGCAGGGGAAGCTAATTATCAGCAACAGAAAGAGAAAAGTCAAAGAAAAGAGAACTCACAGTTAGTTTCCAGATTAATTTGATTGCTTCTGTCACAGGCTTGGGGCAGGAAATGCCTTTCTTTTATGCTGTGGCATGAGTTGACATACCCCTTGTGAAGCCATATTTCTCTTGTGTTCTGGACTGATGGTTCGCATGCTGGCTGCCATTTTGAAGAGGTGCTGCCCTTAAAAAATGAGAAGGCCTGGCAGCAGTGTAGGAAACCTGTGATGGAAATCTTAAGGGAATTGCTGAAGAGTAAGAAGTCTGCTGTGTTTTCTGCTGACCTGTCTGGCACTTCCTGTGACCTCTGTTTTTGGCATTACTAATTTTCTGTTTATTTTGTAAAAGAAGGAAAGGAGGGTTTTGCTACAGATTAAAGCCTCATTTGTTGTTCAGTATCAGGTTTTTAGCGCACCTAAATTCTTGCTTTAATAAGAGGAGGGTAAAGGAGGAGAGAGTAGATGTAGACCTTCCACTAGATTTTGGTTTTCACATCAATACTTGCTGCCTTTTAGCTTTTCTTTTAAATCCTTTATTTCAGTCACCTAGGTAGAAAACTTGATTGTAGTCATACTGTACGTTCTCACTACTTAGTAATGAATTTAATTATAGCTTATATTTTTAGGTAAGGCAAGTCCTGCATGGTTGAGATAATTGCAGTTGTATTGCCCACAGTGATTAATTCTATCTTCTGCTCTGAATCACATGTCAAACCAGTGTGACAGGTTTTAATAACAACGTCCTGTTAATAGAAATTTTCATAACAATGAATGATCCTTTTGGAACATTGACATAAGATTAATGAGTTGGTCTTGCACACTGAATATGGTACATTTCATTGAACTGATCAGCACCAATTGGCAACTGAAGTAGACTTGAGTTCTCCTTGTCCTTGGAAGTCCTTTGCTTTCAGGCAATGCTGAGTTTTATAACTGTAGAGGAGGAGTGTTTGATGATAGAAGAGCAATTTAGGTGCTTTACCAAAATTTTGACAGACGTAGTATTTTAAGAAGAGAAGTATGTCTTGTTTTGTATTCCTTCTACCGCTCTGAGGTTTGCAGGGGTATTTACATAACATCTACTTACTGTGAGGGGTTTCAGTTTTGTTTTGTATGGTTATAAACATAATTGTATATGTTAGTTAATGTTAGGTCATGCATCAGCTACTGTGTGACAACAAAGATACGAATTTGTTAAGTGACACATCCTACACGGTGACTGATGTGCGTATGTCTTTGTTTTCGTCTCTAGAACAGGATAATAGTTCTTGGCAGAAGAGAACAGTTGGAGTGCTGAAGCACAGAATCCTGTTTTCTATTCAGTGAAATATCTTTCCCTAGTGGCACTTGATAAATAGAGTTAATATAATTTGTACCAATGTTGAAAAAAGTACGATTCCTTTTTTAACTTATGTCTTACTTCTTACTATATTACATTATATATATTATATATATACATATATTGCATATATGCAATTTTTTAAAGAAATACTTCTTAAGGTCACTAAATGCTTTCTTTGACTCTGTCCTGATTTCTTATGTATTTGTTTCATGTAGATGTAACAGTGAGAGCCTGCGCAAGATGCCAGAGCAGTGGCTAAGCTGTGTGTTAGAAGAAATCAAGTCTTGTGATCTTTCGTCTACACTATGTGCAACTAGACGTAGTGCAGGAATTCCATTCTACATACAGGTACCAACTAATGTTATTACCTCTGACTTTTTTTTTTTTTTTAATGTCCTTTCTGTGGAATACACTTAACGTATTTATTTTTCTTACTTCAACCGCTTTTGGTCAAACAGTTACTTTTTTTTATACAGACTTTGATTGCCTTTGTGCAACCAAGAAGCCACATGTAATTAAACCATGTTTGGTGCTGTTTAGTGCTGCAGTTCTATTGACCCTTGAGATTTTTGGCTTGTGGTAGATTTGAATAGCCTTTCAAAAGACTGAGCTTAGGCTCCATGTGGCCACTGTAATAATCCTGTCAAATTCATAAATTAATTCACAGATTAAGTCTCTGTTAACTATATAACTCTGTGCTTCTTCCATGTGAAGTGGGAGGGTGGTAAAATATGAACAGACCATCACAGAATTGTAAAATGGTGGCCTAGAAAAATATTACAAAGAACTTGGGAAGTCCACTCAACGGTAATAAAGCAGAGTCAAGTAATAGTCCCACTGACTGATGTTGACTGACAGCCTTGAGTGTAATGAATGAGTAGATTATTGAAGACTTATATCTGCGAGCATGCGGCTGTGCTCCCCATGTCTTTCCGCTCTCCATGTTGCCATCAGCTCCACACATCCCAGCCTCTGGCTTCTGCCAAGTTCAGAACTGATGGCTGATCGGCTGGCTGGCAGTGTTTTTGTCTCTGCTCGAAGTACCACCTCCTACTGAGTGCTTCGCAGTAGTATGCCACAGCTTATCTGCATCGTTGTGGGGTCAGTCACTGCAGAGTTGGTCCTGCAGATTACACTTAACCCGCTTCCATTCCTTTGCTCCTTAAAGTGGCCATGATTGCTTCCCCTAAATTAACCTCTATTATTTTCATTTTCAACCAGTGTTCTAAGACAGGAGTCCAAGATTAACTACACGATTTGTAACTTTCTCCACTCTGAAGTATAGTCTCAAGCACGTTCCAAGAATCTGAGAGACTGCTGGAAGTAAGCTGTCCCTGCCAGAATAATTCATCTTGCTTGTTTTCCACTCTGAGTTTGCCCTGAGAAAGTTGAGGCAGCCTGCTTCTGTCTGACCTCTCTTATGTCAGTCACAGCCTGCTCCTGGCTTTGCTGGATGCATGTGTGCTAGGCAGAAGGATCAGAAGTAGGGCATTGGTTTTAGAGACATTTTTCCTTTTCAATTCCAGCAGTCAGAGATCTTTCCCTTTTAAAAGGGTTATAATATCTGTAAGTCATCTGCAAAATGAATTTCGTGGTTTCATGTTTTCTGGTTTCCCCATTCACACCACAGAGTTTGAATCCAGTGGACATTAGCTAGCATTAATCCCGAGAATGTGAAAAAACAAATGTGTTTGAATAAATTTTTCGTGTAAAAAGTTACTGTCTAGTGCAAGGACTAGGTGGACCCAATGTTACCCCATTGGAGAAAACACTAGTGTAGTCTGCAGTTGGCCTATGTTACTGAGTCCATATGGCAAAGCTTGTGCTGTGCCATAGCTGTTTGGATAAACAGGACAAATGCTTCTATTTTGACAACTCTGGAAGAGTACAAAGTTAGTCTAGTCAATTAATGAGAAGGTTTAAAATGAACATTGGGATTAGTCTGAAATAATCTATTTTCAAATTGTAATTTTATTTGAAAGTGAGGCAATAGTGTTCTTTGGCAGTAGTTCTGAATGTGCCTGTAGGACTCAGTAAAATGATTTAAGCCTTAAATAGCATGTTGCATTTAGATAATAAAAATATAAGTTGTAATGCATATCCTAACAGTACTATAATAAGGCTATTTTGTTAATGCGTAAAATCCAGACTCAGTGTGGTCTCTTTGCCATCTGCTTCCTGTGACACTTATTCTTGTTTTACTAAAACACATCTGTTTTAATAAAAATATGTAATTTTTAAGGTTATGAGCATTTTAAATGATCTGTTTAAAATAGAAATATTATTACCAAATAGTACAAAGGTGCAGCTTCTATTAGTGGGTTATGAAATGGTGGGAAAATACTAGTTAGTTTTATATGTTTTTAGGGTATGAAATTTTAGTCTTTAGTTCGTTTTCCTCTATTTTATACTTCATGAATACTTCTACTTTTCCCTCTTCCCTCTTTGTTTCTCCCATCGTTAAAGGTACTGATAAACTGACAGTGACTGCTATTTCTGCCTATTCTATTTCTGCCTATTCTATTATTTCTGCCTAACCTCTATACTTTATTTGACTTGCAGTTGATCCATTTGATTGTTGTTCTGTGATGTAACTGTTAAATATCTTGTTTGAACTGGTGCTGAACAGACTCTGGACCCCAAAACACAAATGGATAATAATTTTTTATTAGAAATAAGTGATTTATGGTTATCTATTTGCACTAAGTTGGACAAATTCAGCAAGAGCTACTAGACAGAGAAGGACTGTTTTAACTCCAGTCCTGAATTTCGGAGGAGTATTTTCATCTCGGCTGGATGTCCTACCCCTTGAACTACTATTTGGAGATGGATACATCTCTTCTCTCCTTTTAAAAATGTGCTGCTTGTTTTATACTATTTTGCAAACCAAGATTTATTTTTTGGCCAGCCCGTGTCTTCTTACATATGTATGTTACTAAACTAAAAAAATGTCCATACTAGGAAATGTAAGTATGAGAAATTATTATGTTAGATACAAGCAGATTTTCTTAGGAAGATGGATAGTGCATGAGCAAATTTTTCTTACTGAAATATTGAATGCTAAGAGGCTTTCAGCAAAACTAAGAGTGAAAACTGAAACTTTTTTGTGACTTTTTCAGTAGTCCTTCTGTATGGTCAGAAGCTAGGCCCTAATATGGTAAATATAGGAATGTGGAACAGAACTGGTAGTAAAGAAAAATGGCTGGAAATAGCCAATTTGTGGTGTTGTTGTTGTTGTTGTTGTTTTTAACTTTCTGTAGGCTTTGTTAGCTTCAGAACCAAAGAAGAGCAAAACAGATTTGCTGAAAATTACAATGAAAGAATTGATAACTTTGGCTGCACCTTTGAATGAATCGAGTGTAATTCCACAGGTAAAATACAGCCTCTCATCAGAAAGCAAAAATCAAAAAAGTGTTTCTTTCAAACAATTAAGGAAATTTGTGTGTTTTTAAAATAAGAATATTTTGGTTTTATTATCTATAGCTAGATTTTAAAATGTGTTTGCATGTGCAGAGGATATGAAGTCACTGGAATTTGGAAGTGCATAAGATACTAAAGATGGATTGGGCATAATTTCATAGTTTGTTTTTTTTTTTTCCCTAGTACAGCAAATACAGTAATTCGTTTTGAATTTACATGATCAGTTAATTGCCTCTAGAATATTTCTAAACAAATAGATAAGTAATTTCCTTTTTACAAGGAAATTAACAAGCAAGCATTTGTTTACATTAGAGTAAAAAGAAAAAGTTGCGTAAATCTATTGTATGCAGTAAAATACTACTTGTAAAGTGATTTTTATGTATACTTAGTAACTTCTAAAACTTAAATATTTACATTTGGAATGCATAAAAATCTTATTTTAAAATCAAGAGCTTTATCTTCAAACTATTGTTATCAAATACTTAATCTTTCTGTTCGTAAATGCAAGCCATAATCTGTTGACAATACATAGAAGTACGTTCTAAGGGCTCTGGTATAAATTCAAGTAACCTTGTCAAAGTCTCTGAAGCTACACAGATTACCACCTTCCCCTACAGAGAGTAGAGAAATATCAGAAAGCGCTCCATATGGTGAAATAAGCCTGGCTGTCAGTTTTAGCTTAATATTGTCCTCCTGTGAGTTGTAGTTTATTTTTTCTCACAGTATCTACAGCATGTCAAGAATGTTGGAAAAGATGATTCTAAACTTTGAAAGTTATTTTTACAGGCATGATAAGCTAAGGAAAAAAGAATGCTGGCCTTCACTTGCAATGCCTGGACTATACTTGCTAGAAGAATATATTTTTAAACTGTAATTGTTTTTAAGTGTTTATTGCTGCACCATTTGAATACATTTTTTTAATAGCAGTATTCTTGTATTTAATACAGAAATAAAGTGGTGTAAATGTACCTATGGATTATTTTTGGTTTGCATGTTCACTGCTATAATTAACATACATTAAATTTAAGATCTTTTCCAATGAATATGTATTTTTCTTATATTTCTTCTACCCCTACAGGTTCATGCTTTAAATATCCTTCGGGCACTGTTTAGGGATACACGTTTAGGTGAAAACATCATGCCTTATGTTGCAGATGGAATACAAGCAGCAATTCTAGGTTTTATGTCACCTGTCTGGGCAGTAAGTTAATTCTTCATCTTACCTCTTAATTTAACAGGATATAGAGTGGATATATTTAACACTATATATAGTGTTCAGTGAAGCTTTGGTCATGTTTATAAATGGCAGTACCGTGATCTCTGGAATGTTACGTGGCTTAGTATTTTAAGGTACAATAAAGAACAGTGTAGACCAGCAAAAAAGTCATACTTTCCGGCACGTTCTTTGGTTTTGTTTCATTTTTCTGTAATGTGAAGTGCTGATGTTGACAAAAAGTAGGGACAAAGATTATACATAAGAACGTATCTGGCTGGTAAATTTTGAGTCAGTACCCATGGCCTGTAAGGAGTGCATTTACATTAATTCTCACTGTTAATTTGCTTTTCAATAACAGATAGTATTGCATATGGCATATTAAGGTAAACATTTAATGATCTGCTGTGCATAAGGGTGACTGCTTTGAACCACATCTGGATTGACATCTCAAAAAGAAAATCTGAACTTTCGATTAGTACCATCTTGATTAAGAGGAAGGATGCTCTGAATTAATTGTTTCCATGTGCTGACCTCTGCACTGTAGGCATGCTCTGTCCTTCGCTCAGATATATCCAGATTTCCAGTGATTCAAAGCATACATTCACTCAGCTGTTCTTCTTTTCAGGTGTACATCAGTGGCTGCATTTAAAAAAGTATTAGTACATTTCAGAAGGATTTTTAAAACATAGTTAATGTTCTGTTCTTTTTCCTTTTAGGTAAGAAATTCATCTACACTTCTTTTTAGTTCTCTGATTACAAGAATTTTTGGGGTTAAAAGAGGGAAAGATGAGAATTCAAAAAAAAATAGGTAAGCTTCACTTGGTACCAATTGTAAGTTTGCAAAACATGACCTTAGCCAACAACAATTTGAAAATGTTGCTTGCTTTATGGATATATTTGAATTACAATGTTAAGAAAAAATCTGTCTTTGCTTAAACTGTGCTGCCAAGAAATAAGTGGTAGGTCCAAAAATATCTGCCGTTGAGCACTGAGAGTTAATTTTACTCACATGCAACTTCACAGAAGGGGGAATGTTGCTGAGAGGTTTTGGTACCAGCAGCTCTTCTAAATGCCCAGTCTCTCTTGTGGTCACAAACTAGCCATATTGCTCTAACAGCAAAGAGACGGGGGTGAAATGGAGCAATGGCCACATGTGTGTTCCCTTACATCTAGAGCAGGCCTGGAGGTAGTCTCACCCCTACTAACTTGAGATTTTTCCCTTTAGTCTTCTTACTCTAAAACACCCTGTTCTTCTTTCATGTCTCTTTCCTCCAAGCTCCAAAAATTGCAGCTTGCGAAGCTGCTTTTATTCCAAGGGGTTCTGCCCTTGAACTCTGTAGTCCTGCTCCAGAACCTTTAGTATTTCACATTCTTATATAAAACTAATTGTCCTCTGACTCCTACGACTCCCCCGTCCTGAGCATTTCTGTTCCTCTCTGCCCTCCAGTTAGTGCACAAAGCACCCCCATGCTTTTTTTGGCCTTCAGCCCCTTACTTTAGCTTCTGCAGCAAATGAAGCATGCCCATGGCCTCTGCTCTGTAGCTGAGGTTCCTGCTCTAGTAGGGATGTGAAAATAACCCTGGACACAGAATAAACTCATTAAAAAATACTCCTGGGTGAGTCTGTGGGGCCATAGAGTCACACTATGGATATTATGGTAACCATTTCAGAAATTCCTAGTGGATTTTCACATCACAGAAAAGGTATGCAATTTCTGAAAGCAGGCAGTTGTTACGATTTACCTTCAAAAATTCCACACTTCTTTTTACTCATAATACAGTGGTTTCTTAGTGTTGATCTATGTAGCTAATATAATTTTCATGCACATTATGAGAAGCTAAGTGTCCTGGGATGATAGTAGCCTTTCATATTTTAGGTGATAGGTGCCATTTTAGCTGTTTGAAATAATTCATTTCAGGTGTCACTTGAAAAATTAGTTATGCATGTATGAGCATGAGGAAGAAATTCAGGTGGGAGATTTCCCTTAGAAAATAACTCTTCCCCCCAAAATTATTTGAAATGTCATCTCCCCTACTGCATGAAATTATCCCTGCTTTGCCAGAAACCCAAATCACTTCTCGCCCAAGCCTGGAATTGGCTCCCATAACCCCTGAAACCCAAGCACAGCAATAAAAATTGTTTCTCATTTCTTGCCTTCTCACTTTGTTTTTGTAACAGCATTTAACGTTGGTTTTTTTTAATTTCCATATTGAGCACTTACTGAAAGACATACGTACCTCAGCTTTTTTAAGCTTGTATCCTAAGGAGAAACTTCATGCGAACTTCTGCAGTGGGAAGGCAAACTGACTTCTCAAATACGTGCGTGAGATGTGTAACCTGAGTTTTCTGTTTGCGAAGTTGCCGACAGTAATGCATTTGAGCATCTGTTGGGTGTGGGAGATACCAGGATGAAGGAAAGTAAACTTTTACATAGTTGAATTGAATTGATTAAAATCAATGTTAATTTTTATGTAACTGGCACTGTCAACTTGTTTCTCTGAAGCTTTTTGGTTACAGTAATTTCTTTGTAGTCATTTTGACCAAAAGATGTTAAAACTGGGCTGGGTGCTTTTTCTTCCTCTATTCATTTAGCAGTTTTGCATTAAACATCGTACATGGTCAGTTCTACTGTTTCCCACATGTAGTCGTCAATACCACGAAGCAGGGAATGGGAAAACACTTCTAAAGACAGGTCAGTGAGAGACAGGAGGTGTGAAAACAGAGGCAGAGATTTGATTTCAAGTTTCTGACTCCTGTCTCTGCAGGAGATACTGGTTTAGAAGGAGAACGATGTAGAAGTTCTTTGGCTATTTTTTTTGTAAAGCTGCTTCCTCTGAACCCCACCGGTGGTTTAAGGTGGGTTGTGCTTGGGAAGAGGTCTGTGTTTCAGTGGTTTGGCACCACGAGGTGTCACCGTTGCTGCACAGCTCCCTGCAGCCACATCCCTGGCTTGGGCGCTTCTCTTCAGGAGCTCTAAACTTGTTTTGTGTAGTACTTAGCCAGAACAGAATTCATATATTAAAACAAAGTACCACCACCACCACCACGTCCCCCACCGCCTTTAAAATCTGGCCGTTTACATCAAAAGCACTAGCATTTTCGCAACTTGCATGTACAGGAGCTTGTGTGAAAGTCATCTGAGTTTGAGCTGCTTGTTTTGTTGCCTGCAGGATGTTCTGTTTGCGTTAAGTGCTCCTCAGTGTGTTGGTCTGTGGACAGAGACCAACTGTCTGATGCCACCATTAGGGCTTTGCATAGGTTTCCAATCTGTCTCTTCTGTGGCAGCGGGGAGTTACCTTATTGCTGGGCTATTCTGGGCATCTGTCTTAATAAAGGATGGACTTTCTGGTTGTTTTCTCAAGAGGAGTTCCTATGAAACTGATACAGTTGGGGTGGTGGAGAGTTTCTGTAGACTTCCAGAAGAAAGCTTTGTTGGAACAGTACTGGCAACTGAACTCCGCTGCTGTGTTTCTTTAACATTGTGTGTTGTTTCCCTTTTTTTCTCGTATCTCTGCTAAAAATATAGCATCCTTTATACAAAAATTATAGGCCTATTGTGTTTTTTTCTGCTTTTAGTCTGCTGATGTTATGTTCCATTCCCTGTTTATGTTAATTTTGTACATTATAATTACCGTGCAGCTGGGGTGTTTACATAGTGACAACACAGTGGTGGTCCATTATTTGATGGTCTTGAACAGTTGTGAAGCATTGGATTGAATGACTGAACTATAACCTTTGTCTGATCAGTAACCTGATTTAATTGTTTTTTTTTTCCCAGGCATATATAAAAGAATGATGGGTTTGGGTTTTTGTTTTTATTGGAGAGGTGTGGGTTGTTTTTGTGTTTGGTGGGGGTTTTTTTTTCCTCCAAATATTCCTGTGTTGTTTTGGGTGTTTGCAGGAGAACAACTGTGGGAAAGGGCCCCCAGCTGTGTGAAGGGGATGCCTAACTCTGCTGACAGACATTTTAAGTTACATCTGCAGTGGCTGTCCCTGCTGGAGAGCCGAGGAAGAAAGCATGTTGAGCTGGGCTTTGTGATCACTGAAAGGGCATTGGGAAGGTCAACCAGAACTGCCTGTCTCGATCTGAGGACGAGACAATATTAGATCATGCTAGAGGACGTCTGTTCTCTGAAACCTTGGTCTGTAGTTTGAGGAGATATGGATTGAAGAAATTACCAACTACACATTATGGCTTCTGCTGCTCGGCTGTGCTGGTTCAGTGGTCAGTGGGGCTCTGCTGTGGGTTGTCTGCAATGTGTTGCCTCAACAGCTGTATTGGTAGAACTGGGGAGGAGGGCACTGGGGCAGAGAGGGATTTCTTGAGCAGAACTCTGGGCTAATGCCAAACTTTGGTCCTAAGGGTTCACTGGAAGCTTGAAGGGACTACTCTACATCATGCTTTACAGAAGATACAGTCATATCCTGTTTTCATGAAATATTGATGCATCTTTGTAATTTTAGCATGGAAAGGAAATAATGAATTGGAAAATTAATACTTGATAAATAACAACTGTCTGCAGCTCTTGCAAGTAGAATAGAGAGAAGTTGTGTGAAGACTGGTTACAGTGGTCCATGCAACTATGCAGGTTGAGGTTTCTCTTTCTAATGAAAAGAAGGTTAGAAACCAAGAAATTTTCTCTGGGATCTCTCTTTCTGAGAAAGACTGTATCAAAAATTCTAATGCTGCTGTAAGAGAGTGTGTGTGTGTGTGTGTGTGTGTGTGTGTGTATACTTGATTTGGGAATATAATTTTCTTAAATGTTACGGTATTTCAAATCTGCAAGGCTTGGAATAACATTCTAGCCACATAAATACAAAGTATTGAGGAAGGGTTGGAAAGGAGTCCTTGCAATTAACCCGTTCATATTTGGTTACAGAAAGCGTGCTCTAGGTAGCTACATCAGTGTGCTTTAGAGAAAATAACCACCCCTTCTCCAAGCTCTTCACAGCACGGGTATTTATGTTACTTTAGCCGGTCACTTCATACTTGGAGGATGCTAAGTCTGTATCCTAATTTACCTAGCTACCGTGCTGTCAGCTGCGACTTGTTCCCCAGCCCCACTGCCACGCAGTGCTTGCTCCTGTGCTGCTGGGACCTGCCCTCCGCCTCAGCAGCGGCTCTGGAGAGGGGGCTGCCATGGCCCCGGTCCCCAGGCACATCCTCCACGGGCTGCTCTGCAAGCACTGCTCCGAGGGTCATGCTGAAGACCTGAGTACTACGCTTGGTTTAAGGCCAGTTGATTGAAGGAGGACTTTGAACAGCAGTGAGTTCTGTAGGCCGATGAGTCTTGCCTCTCGTGTTTTGATTAAATAGCCATTTCCAGTTTTCTCGTGCAGTCAGTTGACAATGTAGATTTGCTGATTCCAGGAACTTTTCAAGAAGCTGGGGTGTAGTGTATGCTTACTAATTCTGTTTTTTTCATGATTTTTTTTTTTCCCTGTTAGTGTTGCTACAGATTGCAGGTCATCTAAAGTAAGTGTTTGCTCTAGTTGATTGCAGACTCCAGTATTCATCTCATGAAAAATTAGGAAATGAAGAGATTCTAAAAGTAAAATGGAATATATATTGTGACAGTTAATGCAGATCTATACATGAAAGTCAGAAAAACTTACATTCAATTTTGAAAGATAATTAAATTTCTTGTCATACAGAAATTTCTTCTACCCAAATGAGTTACAGTAGTAACAGTGATACTTTCACCTAAATTCTTACACACACACACATATATATATGTGTCTATATATTGTCTATATATGCACTATATAAATGCATATATATAAAAAATACTGGAGTACAAACCAGT